TTGAGATCAAGGGAAAAGCTCTTTCACTCTTATTTTTCCTTTTCTCTTGTACATAAGTGTTTTTGAGCTCATTGTAAATCTTTCTATTGTTTTCTTGTGATCTTAATTATTGTAAACACCTACCTTTGTGAGGTTTCCTTGTTTACATCTTTCAACCTTTGTAAAAGGGAGTGATTTTAGTTTAGCCATTGAAAAACTGAGAGTTTTGTAAAGGTTACTCTTGAGCCTAGAAAAAGAAAGAACAAATTAGTGAATTTGTTAGAAAATCCTTAGTGTGGAGCTAAGGTAGTGGATGTAGACTTGGTTTAGAAGCCGAACCACTATAAATCATTGTGCAAATTTTCCTGTCCTTTCTCCTCCATACCAAATTTTTTTCAATTGGTCAATTCACCTCCTCTTGGCAATTATTTGGTTGTTCATTTGAGCTTCACGAATCCTAACAATTAGGTTCTGAACCTAATGAATCTTAAAATAACAACTTTTTCCATTTACTTTCTTCTAATTTCGAAACCCATTCATAGTGAAAGTTTTGTATGATGGATGACTATCTGGTTTGTTAAAAAGAAAGCAAATAAAATATAAGGCAACATTATTTTCAGGAGAATATTCTAACCATGAACGAAAGTTTTTGTACTAGGAAGCTTGAAATCAACAAGGATGAGAAACATGTCCATATTTTTTGAATTAAGAGAGTACTAGTTGATATGGACTCTCACAATATAAGCTATTCGAATTGCACTTCTTTCTTGTTCATAAGGATATTACCATATTTCTTGCGCTTACCAAGATCTCACTCCAAGTGATTAGAGTTGATACTTGATTTTTGATTTCTAGCTATCTTTAAAGGTCTGTCTTCCGAAGGTGAAACGTCAATAGGTGTACCAGTTGAAGTTGAAGTTGTTGTATTTATATTTTTGAATTTTTCCCGCTTTTTCTTTTAAAAACTCAATAATTGTTGGATTTTTTTCCCATGACAAGCTGTATTTATATAAAATTAATTCACGAACATAAAATATCAAATTTAGTAATCACTATTCACCTTAATAATTATTAGATTAACTAAAGGAATACTAAAATTAAATATAAGATCAAATAATTCTAACTAAAAAAATAATAAATATAATATTATTTAATTACATAACTTTAAAAATTAAGTATTAAATAATGGTGAATTGGATCAAAACAATATTGGAAGAGCTTTAGTTGATGGGAGGGTGATTAACTCATGATTTTTCTATGAAAGATTTTAATATTTTACTCTATTTATAAGTCTTTTGTCAGCTCCTATAATTATATTAGTATTATGATAAAAAAACAAAAAATTAAAGTAGGGGTCGGGGCCCTTGGGCCCCAAGGGCCCTCCGTCTCTGATTGCATGCAACTAAGTACATTATAAATACGTATCCATACTATAGCGTCAAGCTTAAACGTATATGTTAGCTCGATAATACATTCACATTCTCCTTTCCCTCCTCTGATCCTGACTTAGGTTATTTTAACCTTTTGAATTTTTTCCTCCTACTTTGCCTCACAGTTTGGAAGTGCAATTAATCCATAGGTAAACTTTTAATACATAATAGTATAATCTTATGCGTAGTTTGTAAATTTAATAATATATTATTAAAATTTTATTTAATTTTAAAAATCTATAATAATATATTATTATTTAATTTACCGAAGATAGACAGAATTATACAACCAAATTATAATTCCTTTAATTTTCATATAAAATGTCATATTCATAGAAATAACGTGAACTCAAATTTAAGTATACTCATTCAAAAAATAATAATAATTTAATAAAAATAATACTTAGAACCTAAATTATTACTATCATAAAACATGTAATTTCGACCAACGTCATATGACTTTAATAGCAAATTTTAAATATAATAAACACTTATTAATTAAAATACATATATATGACCTGTTTTGTCGTAGGAAAAATCAAAAAGTGAAGAAAAAAAATATCAAAATACTTTGTAAGTACGCAAAAGAAAATTACCATATAACAAATAACCTTTTAAAAAAAGTTAATTTCTCTTGCAGGAGTAGCAAGACATAGATGTATTCCAAAGTCTAAAGTCAAACCAAATACATATACAAGTACAAAGAAAAATAAATTTAAACATAATTAAATAAATTGATAAAGACAATAGGACAAAAAGAAAAGAAAAAATATATGTGCCAATAAAAATTTTAAATTAATTATTTCAAAATAAAAATTAAGTAAATATTTTGTAGTTTACCCTTTAAAAATACAATCATAGGTTATCATGGATGCTTTTTAAATTAAAATAGTAAATCTAAAATTTTAAATGAAGCGTATTTAGGAAGTAACTGATCTACGATTGAATTTCAGTCTAATTATTTTAATCACATGAATACCTAGTAATGAAGTCAGAAAAAAATTATAGAGACCAAAGTCAAATTAAAAAATTTGTTAGAGATCAAATATAATTTTAATATTATATTAATTTAAAATTTTAAAAATTTTGAAGGGATTAAATCATATAATCTTATCACTTTGTAGTGAGATTTTATAGTCATTTGTATATGCGCTCTCGTGTTTTTTGTGGGGTTGTATGTACTTTTTTCCTCTTATTAGGATTATTGAGGTTTTTAATGAGACATACAACTCTGGTTAGACTTGTTAGATTTCATTAATAAAATTTTCTAGCCAAAAAATAATAATAAGTAATATTGAATTGAGTGTAACTGAAGCATCTAATTACATTTTAGAAGCTAAACATAACTAGAAAATCAAAATTAATGTAATTACAAGAGGTCCTAATAAATCAAATTACCATTAAATAAATGTTTAATACATAGTATTTGAATGTGGTTTTTTCTTTTCATTCTTCTATATAATCTTTAAGTAAACTAAATTAAAAGTCAACATTGAGGATTGGACACAAAACTAATATATATAATTATTTAAATATAAATTATTTGTCACTCTGCTTAAAATTGTAGTTGAATAATTTTTTAATCACTAAGTATTAAATATAATAATATAATATATTATAATTTTTAAAAAAATAAAAAATCATTTTCAGAAACATTAAAACCGGACTAACACGAATGGATATGTTTTCAAGAGATAAAATTCAAATACTCGCTAGTTTGATTAATTAATTCCGATGCTTTAGGGTTAAACATAACAATCACTATTGCAGCCTCAAATCGAATCAGTGAACACGTTGGTGGCCTCAATGACCTAAAAAAGATCCAATATTCATAATTAAGTTATGCTAATACGTGAAATTATATAATAATGATCCATTCAATAATCAATGACGAAATAAAAAGAATGCGTTGCGTGCATGGGGTGGGTTTCAAAGATCATTGATGACTTTGATCTTATGCTGACCACGTAAAGCTCTTGTTTATTTAGATTTTTTATTAATTATTCATTTCATCAAATATAGGAGTAGTTGATTACTCTTAAATTACTTTTATTGTCTCATCAAATCTTTATTTCACCGTCTTTACCCTTCTCTACTTTAAATTTATTATCGACGACTTTTTGGGTTTAATCACATGGATATGATATATTATTTATTATTTTAAATTGAGTTTTATAAAAGTTCAATTTAAGAGTGATCATCTCAATTCAGTTTTATAAAGGTGAGGATTTGAACTCCTAACCTTACTTAAATTTTAAGATTTAAGGTTTGGAATTTAGGATTTTAAGATTAAGATTTTAGAATTTAAGATTAAAATAGATAATATTATGTAAATTAATTTTTACATAATTTATATGTCAAATAACAATATAATTTATTTTATATATTGTATAATTTATCATACTTATTCAATTTATAAAAGAACTGCATATTGAATTAACATTATTCTTTCGTGTACGGTAGCTCTATAAACTTCAAATAATTGTTTTTGGTTTCCCCTTTGGTTCTAAAGCTTCGTCTTGACTAATCCGAACCGACTTGTGTCACACACCTGACTTTAGTAGATGAGTCTCCGAGCAGAGATTTTCTACATACACAAGGACTCGAACTTGAGACCTTAGTTAAGTGATATCAAGTTGCTTACTACTTGAACAACTCCCGTTGATTATAAACTTTAAATAATTTATTTTACAGTTTAACGGTTCTTTTTAGATATGTTTTAGCACATTTCATAGTATTGTCATGTACATATAATGCTTTGTGACATAACGTATTCTAAGTATTTTTAATCACATATTTTTAAATTATTTTATATTTGACATTCTTTGACATAGTATTATAGTTTTATTTATTTAAAAAAAGATCAAAGTAGTATTTATTTCAAAAATTGAATTATTCGCATAAACCAAACGAACTCAGTGATTAATGATATATATTTATATTAGGTTTAAATTTTTTATTTTGCTAAAGTAAAATGAGAGTAGATCCTAGTTGTTTTAAATTTTTTTCTTATCCAAAAACTAGAAATTAATAAAGACTGCAATGAGATGCTTTACTTCATGGATTACAATAAAACACACTAGCATTTATAATTTCTGTCGATACTTATTTCACTTTTTTATTTATTTTAAGTTATAATTTACAATTATATAGTTAAATCTTATAAAATAAATTAGTATAAATGTTAAATTAAATAATTCATCCAATAACCTTAGTAGTAAGGGGAGTATTATTCTTCCAAAAAATATTGAGTTCGAGCAATTTAATCTATAAAGTGTGTGTATATTATCGATGACCATTTGATGTAACCAAGTTGTTTTATGAAAAGGAAAGGTCCACCTAGAAAGAAACTGAAAACGCAGGGACCAAAGATCATTTTACAAATTATTGCAAATGATGGGAAGCTCAAGCCTCATATAAACAAATCACAAATGACAAAACAAAGGGTATAGTGGAGATTTTGAAAAAAGAACAGGACACTGTTTACCTTCCCCTAACAAATAGGAAACCAACACGTCTCCAAGGGGACACAGTTAAACTCTATAAATATGCGGTAGCTTCGTTTCGTTGTTGGATTGGAGGGAGCTGTTTACCTTCGCCAAACAAATAGGAAACCAACACGTCTCCAATATTAGGGGACACAGTTAAACTCTACAAGTATGCAGTAAGCTTCATTTCATTGTTGGATTGGAGGGAGCCAAGAACAAAAGATCATATTGAAATTATGGGAAGGTCCCCTTGTTGTGATGAAACTACTGGTCTTAAGAAAGGTCCATGGACCCCTGAAGAAGATAATAATCTTGTCAAATACATCCATGAAAATGGCCATGGAAGCTGGAGAGCCCTCCCCAAGCTTGCTGGTATCGGCTGATGAATGGCTATTTGCTTCTTTTTTATACTCTCTTTCTCTCTGTCTTTTCCATGGCTGAGATTGTTGTTTCGCTGTTTGTAATTGTTTTTCAGGTCTTAATCGATGTGGGAAAAGTTGCAGGCTGAGATGGACGAATTACTTGAGGCCTGATATTAAGAGAGGGAAGTTTTCCCAAGAAGAAGAACAAACGATTCTCAATCTCCATTCCGTCCTTGGAAACAAGTAACGATTTTAAAACTCTTTACTTTTTATGCCATTTTTGTTTTTGTTTGTTTTTACTGAATTTTTTTCGTTGGTGTTCTTGAAGATGGTCAGCGATTGCAAGCCACCTGCCTGGACGAACAGATAATGAAATAAAGAACTTTTGGAACACTCATTTGAAGAAGAAACTCATCCAAATGGGGATCGATCCCATGACTCATAGGCCTCGAACTGATATGATCTCCAGTTTGCCTTATCTCATAGCTTTGGCCAACCTAAAAGAGCTTATGGATCAGCACTCATGGGAGGAACAGGCTTTAAAGCTTCAAGCAGAAGTTGTTCAAATGGCTAAGCTTCAAAGTTTGCAATATCTTCTTCAACTAACCTCAGCTTCCATTTCATCTAGTTCTAATATCATTAATATGCACAATGCTTTCAGTATTGATGTGGACGCCATTAATCTTTTAAACTCAGTTTCTCCAATCAAGTATTCATCTCTGCTGGATATAGCAGAAGCGGCTTCTCTTCAAGGTCTCCATGATTCAACAATCCCTTTCCCTCGTTTAACAGACATACAAGTCCCGTTAGAACATGGAACATCTACGAAAAACGATATCGAGAAGCTTGATAGTTCATCTGTAACTCCTTCGCCAACTGTTGCAGTGATTTTGAAACACAATTTGGGGGTTGCTAGCTGTTCTTCAAGCTATAATGGAGAAGCTGATCTTTCAGTTTGGCCTCATGATGATCACTTCATCTTTGAAGACCCTTTGTTCCATGAGCTTTCCTAGCTTAGTCTTCTGAATATGTTGATTTTAATCTCAGGTTTGCTGTTCTCATTCTTCAGTGCATCTGTTTCTGCACATAGAGTGTTAACTAATTAATATTATATATGTGTCTGTGAATAATCCTTTCAAAAACATCAAAGACATTAATTAATGCATCATTACATATCTATAAGATTGCGTTGCATGTTTTTCATGCATATATATAGACATCCTTGTGAGTATGCATGTTCGGAGACATTATCTTTGTTTCTTTTCTTTCTTTTAGCTAATTTCAACCATGGAAAAAAAAACAAAAATGTTCCTTTCTGTTCTTCCTCTCGTCGTTTTTCCCTTTCTTCTGCAAACGCGAACAATGATTGTATCCTACAGGTTCAACCTGTACAGAAAAGTTAATTACCATATATATTATAAGTGAATCTTGACAACTCAGCATCGGATCGGACTTTTCCGGCGATGTAACTCCGGTATCGTCTGACTGTTTGATGTCTTTGCAAAGTTTCTTACCAACGTTTTCCGTCGAATTAACTCGAGAGTTTAGTCGGTTCAACCACTAAAGCGACATTAATAGCTGCTGGTTCATGTTCATATTTGCTTCAAAGTAGCTTGTAGATCTCTCCCTTGTTTTTTGCAATGTTTCGGGAAGTGTTTTCTTAGAATTTAGAAACTTGTTGACATTAAACATACGTTTTCATTGATTGGAAATAGCTGAGTTTTATACGGTAAAAAAAGGTTTAATGTTAATGTTTTGGAAAATTTCAAAGAGTGGTATTTCAACGTTACAAACAATTGTTTTTGACTTCATGTGAACAAAGGAAATGTAAATGAAAATACAGGGAAGAAAACTTACAAAACTATTTACTTTTTAGGTTTGAACACGATGAGCTCGTACATCGTCCTCTTGTTCTACACAAATATATATATATATCTATAATATATATATATATATATATATATATATATATATATATATATATTATATATATAATTGTTTTATACTTTTATGTGCTTTATAAATGCAAGTAATTAATTACTATATAATTGAGGGTAAGTTAGATCAAGACATTGACCCAACCTTATAATCCAACCACTCTAGAATCTAGAAGAATTACTGAGATGGACATATTCCATTGGGTTTTTTATTGGATATAAAAAAAGTTGCAGTATGAAATAAGAAAACAGAACCAATATTTAGTTATTTTTGTCCATAATATTTACAGTTTCTTGTTGGATGATATCTCTGGAAAGAAATTACATTAACTAAATTGATACTTTTTTTTCTTTAAAAAATAAATCAATTTTATCTTTGATGTATTCGAGCAGTATCTTTCTTCGTCAATTAAGAAAAGTTTCTCTGGGTAATAAAATATAGGGTAACTACATGTTTAGTATCTAAACTATTGTTTTTGTTTTATTTTGATACTTAATTTTTTTTCTTCAAAATCATATATAATATTTAGTTTACGTTTCAATTTGGTAACATACCGTTAAATAATTAATACAACTGTTGACATGATATTTTTTTTTTATTTTTTCAATGATGAAGCGACATTACGTTATGATGACATTTCAACATCACCGTTAAGTTTTAAACGACATAGCATTAAAATGAAACATAAACTAAATATTAAATGTGATTTAAAAAAACAAAAATTAGATACCTAAATAGAACAAAAATAATAGTCTAAATACTAAATGTGTAGTAAATTTTAACTTCACAAACATGATAAGAAAAATACCAAATGTCTTTATCTTATATTTTTAATAAAATAAATTATATTTGACATTGTATTAATCACACTTATGAGTGAAAGTCATAACATTTAAATAAATAAATTAAAATATTAATAATTGATCAGTGTTTGTAAAATTCACATGTATTTTATTAAAGATTATAAATTATATATAAAAATAAATATTTTTAAAAAATAATCATAATTGAAGAACACTACCAAAATTTATAATATCGTCGATAATTTATTTAATTAAAAAATAAAATTCAAAATAATGTAGAATTATATATCTAAAAGCTAACACAATCTCATTCGTCATGTATCACACATAAAAAAAAATCTTCTAAAATTTTCATTCTTAAAATTTCATTATCATGTATTATGTAAAAATTGTGTATAAGTCTTTGTACTTTAATTTAGTCACACTTTAAGTTCGTTTACTTTTTAAATTTTAAAATTTTGACCCTGACATGAATCTTTTATGTAAAATTCTATACATTATTAATCTCTATACTATACATAAGCTGTAAGTTTAATTTTTTTCTCCAATTTGATCATTGTTATTGTAACTTAATCATATTGCCATTGTAGTAATTATATTATACTTAAGTTGTAGATTTAATTTTTGTTCTTCAATTTGATATTTTTTGTCCTTGTAACTTAATCATATTATCGTTGTACTCAGAGCCGGCTCTTGGCAGGAGAACCCTGAGCAATTATTCTGGAGCCCGCTCCTTTAATATTTATATTTAGGGTCTCATTCTTTTATTCTTTACAATCAGGGCTCCACTCTTTCAGTCTTTACAGCTATGGTCTCATTCTTTAGTCACTAATAATGTGTTTGACAAAGTTTAATTATTTTTTTATAATTTATTAAAAAAATATTAAATTAATTGTTCAAAGTAATAAAATATATTTTCGTTCTATAGGAATTTAATTTTGAATTTTTGCTCAGGATCCTTACAATATCCGAGACGACTCTGGTTGTACCGCTTCGATTAGGATTGAAATTTCAAAATTTTAAAAATATAAGAACACAAATTAATCAAATTAGAGTATAATGGCTAAAAGAATAATTTACACATAGTATAGACTAATTTAAAAATATCAATTGACCAACTAGTTTATGGTAACTATAATTTTTTTAATTATTATTATTACTATAATTATAAAAGTAAATTTATTATTGTGATAACATCTATTTAACATTAATTACTATATAACTGAGGGTATGTTAGATCAAGACATTGACATAAATTATAACGTGTTTGACGTAGTTTAATTATTTTTTTATAATTTATTAATAAAAATTAAATTAATTGTTTAAATTAATGAAATATACTTTCGTTATATAAAAATTTATTTTTTAATTTTCACTTAGAACCCAAAAATATCCGAGACGGCTCTGATTGTACATCTTGGATTAGAATTGAAATTACAAAATTTGAAATAATATAAGAACTAAAATTGATCAAATTAGAGTATGATGACTAAAAGAACAATTTACACATAGTAAAAAGACTAATTAAAAAAAAAAATCAACTGAGCAACTAATTTATGGTAACTATAATTTTTTTTAATTATTATTACTATAACTAAATAAATATTCACGGGTTTCAACATATCAATTAATTCAGGTATGCTTTCGCATATAATATTATGTTCTTGATGATTTAACATGATTAGATCATGGTTTGTTTTCATATTTATTATAGTTTGGTTCTAACAATAACATTTATCTAACATTAATTTTTATTTTTATTGATGTCAAAATTTATCACAACAAAAAGTAAATTATAAGTGATAAACAACTTTATTATTGCAACAAATATAAAATAATAGTGTTCACTTAAGATATCGTCAATATCATATAATTTCCTTTCGAGAAATAATTGATGTCAATTTGTGCATTCTAATGTCAAAGTTTTAGCAACAATGAAATATGTCACTATTAGGGGTGCTAAAAAATATCCGACCCGAACTATTCGACTCGTGGACATGTTCATCCGGTTAAAAAATTTCGGATATTTATAATGAAAATATTCACTTTTGCGGGTTGGGTACCCGACCCACTATTTTCCCGGATTTTCAGGTTAGACCAAGTCATAAAAGATCCTTTAATTGGGTATCCGTTTAAAATATTTTATAAAATAGTTAGAAAAAAATGTATAACTTAGAATTTAGTTAGGGATGAATTGAGAGAGTAAATGGGGACTTAAACTCATGTGTACATCCTTCATTTTAGTTGAATGGTAACATTGAGCTTCTAAGAATTTTAAAATCAAGGATTGAAGTTAGAAATTTTTTTAAGTGTAAATAGAAACAAATGTTAAAATATAATATTAATTAATAATTTTAAATCCATTAAATTATGAAAATTCTCCATGCTAGGGAAGATGGAGTCCTTCCTGCCCCTTGCTTGGTTTCTATTTAAAATTCTAACATAAATTATGTCTAAATTTTATTTTTATTTAAGTCCTATAATATAATAGACTTTTCTGTCAGTTAAATTATATATAAATGTAATTTTGGTTATAACTTAAAAAATGCTCATAGAAATATTAAATTAAAATAAAATTTGATATGATTTGACCCTTTGGGCTAAAAAAAAGCTTTGTTAATTTTTGAGATGGAGAAAGGGTTGACTAAGACAGGAGTGTCAATAAAAGAGTAATTACATGTTTAATACTTAAATTATTATTTTTGTTTTGTTTTGATAGTTGAATTTTATTTTTTGAAAACTATATGTATTGTTTAGTTTATTTTTATTTTGATATTTAGCCGTTAAAAAATTAACAGTGATTCATATGTCATAATAAGGTAATGTCATATTATCATTGAAAAAAATAAAAAAATGTCACCTCAATAATTCTGATATTTTTTTAACGGTGGGGTACCAATTAAAACCTAAACTAAACATTAAACATAGTTTTAGAAAACAATAAAATTTAAGTGCTGAAGCAGAATAAAAGTAATAATTTAAGTGTTAAATGTATAGTTTACCAAAATTTTAAGTGACGTAAAAGGATTCTCAGCTCAACGATAAGGGACACAATCAAGGTAAAGAATTTTCCGACTACTACTAAAAGGATTATTTATTTTAAGCTAACATTCGTTCATATAGATAGTAAATGAATAGAATATTTGATGATTTTTTTTATGAATCGCTTGTATATTATTTATTTATTAAATTAAATAAATAAATATGAAGAAGCATTTTTTTATTTATTAAAAGATTAAGTTGGAACAAAATTGTGTTCAATTTATGTATGACTACAAATAAACAAATATGCTCATTTATAAATTTCTCATAGATTTATTTATTGGTTCATTTATTAGTTAATTTATTTGAATTTAATATTTTTAAAACTATATTTTTATTTATTTATATTAATGTTTAATAATTGTATGTCTAATAAAAAGAAATATATTCATTTAT